ATTTTCACTGCCAAGAAAAATAGAATTTTCAAGGAAACAAACTTTGAAATTGTGTCTTGATTTTTGCTTTTGGTTAAGCAGTTCTCTCTATTTCCGGAATCATCACATATTTCAACGCTCTACAAAAACAAGCAAGGAGTTTTATTGTTTGAAAAGTTTGAAAAAATAATCATTACGAGTCACCAGGTACACAGAAATTTCGGGTGCTAAATAAGAAATTTGTTCTTTTTAAAAACTTCGGATAGTCTGTTTTTTTCAGTCCTCAAAAGGTAATTTTGAGCAATAAAATTTGGCAAAATTAACCCAAATTTTCTAACCCGTTTTCTGGATGCGAATTGACAAGCAAATTTATTAGCATTTTTATCTAAACTTTTTGGTCGTAAAATTGCGAAAATAAACTCTTTATAATATAGAATAAGAACAAAAAAATATGATTTTAATTCCCCTTAAAAAACTAGTTAGTTGGATTGTTTATTCCGGTTTAAAACAAGAAGCAACCTTGGATAATCAATGAGTGGCATGACGCAAACAGGTCTTTTCTTCTGGTTAGACCTTAAAGAATAAAGAACCGAGCGGGAGCAGGAGGGAAAACTAACTAGCGCTCACCTTTTGAAAACTCTTGTTTATTTTTTAAACATTTACTCGTATGTCCGCTGTGCCTATTAAATTCTCTGGTAGTTTCTTAAATACCGAATTATTAAGGGAATTCTTGTGTTCTTCTTGTCAGCAGCCTTTAACGGAGAAAGATATTAGCGAGCGGAATTACTTTCTTTGTGTGAGTAGTTATCAGAATCAAATCGTCAAAGAGGAATACGGATCCCAAACCTTTTATGGCTTGAAATTTTGACTGCGAACCGTGCAACACAAACGTTGTCAACTTCGCAAGTCGCACCAAATTTCGACCTCCAAGTAACGCTTAGCCATTGGTAAACCAGTGAAAAAAGCACCATTTAAGAATATGAAAAACCAAGAATTTAAATACGAAATTAAAAATAATCGGCTATGACATAACAAGGCCGAAATAACCAACAAACAAGCTAACAATCCCCACGATTGACTTTTTATTTTACAAGAAGAAAAACCGCGACATTGAATCCGTCTAAGGTTAAAGAAAGATCAGCAATGATTAAAAGTTTTTGCTAAACGTCCGAATAAGAACGGAGTGCCGCATTATTTTGAACAATGACATCAAATTACTGACTTAGACCAACCCCTTAGTTTTCAACTAACTCCAGCCGACGAAGTAGTTAAGCAAGCAAACGGAAGGTGAGGAAAGATTAACCATGAAAATTAACGAAAACCAAAAAGCAAAAAGCGGTTTAACCTGAGTAGAATTAGAGAAAGAATTAACCAAGCGTAATTTTGTGGTCCTAACTGAGCACCAAACTAATTTACTAAATTGAGCCCAATTTTGATACCAAGGACCCGAGTATTTAGCCGAATTAGTAACCGAGATTGTTGCTAGGGACAAGTGCTCGGGATGCCAAATGCCGAAGTATGTTATTTATCACGAATATCAAGCTGGCGATATGAAGTATCACTTAATTTGTAGTGGTTGCTAAAAAAAGTGTGACGGGGGCATATATAAACGAGACAACGATTATTATTCTTTCCCGAGTCCCAAGTGTGGGGCTTATGTTTTTTGACTGCGAAATGGAGAAAGCACCGAGGAATGATATTGTGCGAATTGCAAATTCGAATTATTATGCGGTGATTGTGGATCTCCTCACGAACTAGATACTGATTTGTTTGGTAAGCCGGAAGGAGCTAACTTTTATCTCTGCGAGAGTTGCACGATAAAAAGAGAAGAAGAATGACACCAGGAAAATCATGCCTCCGAGCCCAATTTAGATTGTAGTCTTTGCCAACAATGAGCCGAAAGGTGAGAGGAACTAGTAGCCGCTCGCGAGAAAAACTAGTTGGGAGGCTCGGAGGAAGTCCTCTTTTCCCTTTAACAAGTTGTCAATTGGTCACTCCAAGCAAACAACACCATTTTATTTAAATCCTATGAAAACTAACCCTGAAATTGCCAAAATAACTCTACGAAAAAAATTAAGAGAAGAAGTAATTACCTTAATTGCTTCCAGCACTGATTACTTAACTCAAATTAAGCAGTACTTAACCGAACTGCGGAAAATTTCCCAGAAAGAAGTTAAGGCCTGAACTAAGGAAGATATTACTAATATCGAGAGCAATTTTAATGCCTTGAAAGACCTGCTGGTATTTGGTGATCTAGAAGATACCATACTTGCCTTACTGGAAAGTTTAAAAAATTATGAAGAGAATTGTTCTAGGCAGCCCAAATCGAGATTACCATTTTTACCAAAAATACCAACTTATTAGTCCAAGCCCAGAAACTTTTGCGGAATAAATAATCGCAAGAAGGATTGTGGAGCTTATTACTAAAGAAAGAAAACCACAAAAACTAACATGCCCATAACTGATCCAATCAAAAGAAAAGAATACACCAAACTATCCATGAAAATAAAAAGATGGAAAGAGCAGGGAAAGGATATTGGTGGTTTGTTATACCAAAGAGAACAATTGATTGGTATCACATTGTCCAAAATAACTCAACTTGAAAATGTGATACCGAGTGTGATACTTAAAAAACGAGCGAACGGAGAAAACGAGTTAGACCCTAATTTAAATGTGATACCTGAAAATCAAAAAAAGGATGTGATACCGAACGAAACTGTTAAAAATGTGATACCCGTTATTTCCAAAGTAATTGCCAACTTTGGTTTAAGGCCTGGTTCAGATGTGATACCTTTAAAAAATGTAACGCCCGAGTTAACCACAAAAAAAGTAGAACCCGAATTAGTAGAAACCATAAAACGGGTAGAACAAAAGCCCAAAACAATTAAGATTAGTCGCATTATTCCTGATGAATTTCTTGTTAAAAGCAATGTCCCAAGAAAAAATGGTATATGTTTGTGTTAATGGTCATTGAGAACCCAAGGTATGAAGTTTTGAGATTGAACTTGAAAAGATAGATTATTTTACCCCAACCAAAATAGTTGAGTTGGAAAAACAAGCTCGGGAACATTGACCAAAGGACAAGCCGAAAAATAATTAGAAACTATTATCCGTCTGAAACCGGAACCAGTGGGCTATGGGCTATGCTTTATTGCAGAGAGAATATCAAATGCAACGAGAATGAGCGAAGCGAATTAGCAAACTCCAAACAACCAAGTTAATTGCTGATTGAACAAAAAGCCAAAAATAAACCAGGAAAAATATAAGGCAATTTGCTGAGTAATTTGTAACAAAGTATTTTTTTTGTAGTTTTTTCTTTCAATTTGTAATTTTTTATTCACGGAAGGGAAACTTGGATTTCTGATGGCATGATTATTTAGGAGGAATTTGGATTTGGGATTAATATTCAACAGACATTTGTCTTGTTTGTTCTCTCTCATATTTAATTCTCCAATTAATTCGGGCTAGGGGAAAATCAAAGGCACCCAAATTTATGCCTTCCAGACTACCATTATATTTTTCCATAATTCGCTTGGTAATTTCAATTACGGCAATTCCACAATCTCAAGTGTTAGGTTGTTGGATTTCGTTTCGCAAGACCAAATATTTTTCTAAATCTGGATTATTAGTTTGAAGTAATTGCTGTAATAAATCTCTAACTAGGGGTTTAATGTAACCATGATTAGGATTTCCTCGTAAAGTATCTCAATGATAAAAGGTTTGACTTTCTTTTTCATAAACTAGTAAACTTCAATGAAAATCGGGATTATTGATAGGGATAAAGACTAAATTACCATTAAATCCGGTTAATTCACTAAGGAGAATGGGAAAACTAATGGCGGCCTCCAGATCTTTTTTGTTAACTTGCGAAGAAGCTTCTTTAGCAAACATAAATTGGGTTAGTTCTAAAATTTTGAATTTAGAAGGCAAATTTAGTTGGTTTACTACTTTTTCTAAGGCTCAATCAATTTCCTTATCAGTTAGTCAGCGACTAGATGCGAACCAATTGTTATCTGGGGCGAGATTTTGCTTAGCCAAAGTTGGGTTGGTTGCTTTATTTGCTCTTACTTTTTGACTAGTACTTGGTCCTGAAAAATGTGCTGGTGCTTCTGTTCCTAGTTTTCTGATTTCCCGAAGGTTGTCGAGAGTTGCTTCCAAATAAAAAAAACCCGGGCCTCGGTTAACAGCCAAACCGTCTCCTGCAATAATGATTTCAAACTTTTCCCCTGCTTGCAAAATTTGCAGTTTTTTGCTTAAATTTTCTCCGGATTGAGTTTTAGGAATAGCTAAATAATGAGCTTCCTGACCTTGAAAAGTAATCGGCTCTACAAACAAAATGCGGAAAAAATGTTGATCTTCCCCTAAACGTTCAAATATGAATATAATTCGCTCTCCAGCGGTATTTTTGTTTATCATATATTTTATTATATGGTGTTTATTTTCGCAATTTTACGACCAAAAAAATTAGATAAAATTGCTAGAAAATTCCTTTATTAATTCGTATCCAGAAAACGGGGTGGTAAATTTTTGCCTTTTTTGCGAGAAAAATTGCTGAGCAATTAGGGTTGCAGATAAAAAAAGGAAATACGCCATTAACAGAAGAAATCCTCTTATTTTCATTTATTCTCAAGTGTTAAGTTGGTTTAAGAAGAGAGATTTTTATAAGTTCAAATTCTCTACAAGAGAAAAAAATTGCATAAATATAATATTATGGTAAACGCCCAAGAATGACTGGATAAAAATTATCCGAAAGAAGAAAGAAGCGAAATAAAAGAAATCTATCTCAATGAACCTGGTTTAGAAGGGGAATTAGACTTAGGAGATTTTAATTACTGGGATGATTGTTATGAACATGGTTTAAAAGTGTGTATTTCTTCCCAAATGGATGAAACTAAACTAAAACTAAAAAACCAACCAAAAAAGGTTAAAATTATTAGACTAGTAAATGCTCAAAAATACCTAAATCAACAATATCCGAAAGTAGGAATTTGAAAATATTTTGTTAAGAATAGAGAAAAAGAAACAAAATTAAATGTCTATTGCAGACATTTAGAAGGAACTTTAAATCTTTCGGATTTTAGTGATTTAAAAGAATTAGATTATCGTGGGAATGAACTAACCTCCCTAAGCCTAAGTAACTGTTTACAATTAGAGAAAATTGTTTGCTGAGGCAATTTATTAACTAATCTTACTTTAACTAACGATTTAACCAATCTAAAACATTTAGATTTAAGCAGTAATAACTTTTCTGCCGAACAAAACTTATCTTTCTTAGTTGGGGCTACTAGTTTGGAATATCTTTATTTAGGTAATTGAGATAAACAAAAAATTAGCCGAGGCATTTATAACCGTTTCACTGGTTCCTTGGATTATTTAAATGAGATGGAGAAATTAAGAGAACTTAATATTAGCAACACTGACATTAATGAAGTAGATATAAATAAATTACCAAAGAGTTTAGAGAGTATTGAATATTCGATAGAGTTAAGACCATCTTGTAAATTAACTACCATTGTTCCTCAACTAGAGAAATATGGTAAATATGGTCGCTGCAAAAAATGTCAACAACCCAATACTAGTAAAAATCGATGCCAGCCTTGTGTCGACGAAGAATGAAAGCAATTAAACGGGCAAGAATTGATTAAAAAGTTTATCCAACAGCAACCATTAACTGAATATGGAAGAAAATTACAATGAATACCTTATGCACAGTTTACTAATATTGGTGACAAACCGATTGGAGAAGGTGGTTTTAGTAAGATATACAAAGCTCAGTGAGGCAAAGTCTGAAATTATAACGTTAGAATAGTAGTTTTAAAATTCCTAAATGATTCCCAAAAAATTACATTGGAATTCTTAACCGAGATTGCTAATATTAAGATGGTTGATGATAATATTAATGATAATATTGTAAAATGTTACGGTATTTCTCAAGATCCTAAAACTAAGAACTATATG